ACTGTCATCATGCCTGTCATTCTGCACTCCTCCTCCATCCAGCTGTTAAGTCTGGATTGATCATTTCATCTTTAAGGCATGAATGAGTGCACTGATGCGCTTGCGGTCCGCTATCTCGTAGTACTTCAACGTATGCTTCCAAGAGAGATCGCGATCTCGGTATAGCCAAAGAACATAACGAAGCTGGCGGATGGTCGGCCCCGTAGCAGACATCGAAATCTGCGAGAGCTTCTCTCCCAAGCGCTTCGACAAATCATCTTTTAGCCCTGAGACCGGCAACCCCTCTGTTCTTAGTCCTTCTTTCAAGCTATCACAAGTCATCAAACTGCACGTGTCACAACAAACTCTGACGACTTCAGCCGGAGTGGCACTCATTTCTTCACCTCCTGGTGAGCGCATTGCTGTAGTGATGGCCCCAATACTGACTCTAGGACTCGGGGTTCTTTGTGACAAACTTCTTGCCCTTGGTGAAGATGATCTCTGAGACCTCATTCGACTTTCTCCGAACACAGGTAACGAGGGGATACTTTCAGTCGCTTCCTGAACTGCTTCGGTCGTAGATCTCCTCGCTGTATCCTGGGCGAAGTCACCGTGCTGACAGCTCGACGACCTTGTTGTAGATGGTTGTGGAAACGTCCTTTCGCGCTCTTCGCTTCTACCAGACACCCTTGTCGACGTAGCACCCTGTGTCTGGTGTGCCCCATAGGTCTCTCTTCCATCATGTCCAAAACCTTCTTGCTGTAGTCTTTCGAGCTCCCTCTCGATAGCCTCGGTTGTAGCACTTTGTAGCTTACGAAGTCGCCGTAGTCGTCTAGCTCCTGAGCCCGGCATGCATTCATTATACAACTCCGTCATAGACCACTTCACGCCCTCGTAGATCAGCAGTACTCCCAGTGCCATCAGCAGGATCATCAACAAACCTGCCGTGTCCCAGTCTATCTGCAATCCTTGTGCACGTGGAGCATTCTCTGCTTCAGCTGCTTTGACTGACAACATCAGCAGACAGCAAATAACAGCCAGCAAACCCTTTGCTGAAACCTTCATCGCTGATGCAGGTTGCCGCCGTCGATGTCCTTTATCACCAATTGACCACCACTGTAGTAGTGCCTCAAGTCGAGCCGAACTCAAGGACTTCGTGAGGAGATCAGCAGGTTGCCTTTCTCCTGGGCAATGAGTTACCTCAAACAACCCGCTGGTGACTTGTTCTTGTAGCCACCCCGCCTTTATTCGCAAGTGACGTGTTCTCCACGAGCTTGATCCGGTGGAGATACTCATAGCGGCCGTTGAGTCTGTTGCAATAGTCCTAGACTCCACATGCTCCCCAACATCCGCTATCATCGCCTCCGTGCTCTTTGCTGCCACTGCTCCATCCAGCAGAGCCAACAGCTCCGCCTCCGCGGTACTCAACGTAATCATGCTCTGACGGCTGCTCCTCCATGCTATTGGAACGCCTCCATAGGTCACAACCCAGCCTCCATGCGAGCGCGATCCCTGAGGTGCATAGGATGCATCCGAACATGACCAACCCTGTAGGTGACCACTTCACGACCATGCTATAGTTGATCGTCCTTTGCAAGTAGCCCAGGGCCTTCTTCCCAATCTTGATTGATTGCCGCGGGTGCTTTGCGCACATAGTAGCCATCATACATGTAGTATACGCCAAATCAGGCCGGGTCCTCTGGGAAATCCACAATACCTCCCCTGTCACCTGCTGCGCATCGCGAACCATCCCTATGTCCTCCTCCCCTGAAACACTGGGAATAACTGCCAGCTCCTTTGTAATGGGGATGCGATCCTGACTTGTAGAACTGACGCCATGAAGTCGTAGAAGTTCTTGAATGTATCCATATTGTCCCACCAGGATTTCTTCTGCATCTTCAGACTCACGTTGTAGCTCCATGCCAAGGAACCTGATTGGGCTTTCTGGACCCAGGAACGTGAGCTCAGACGTCTCCCAAACATCCCTGACCGCCTTTCCAAGCTCCGTGACGATTTCCCGTGGCCCACAAATCATGAAGTCGTCTACGTACACCACCACTATAGCAGCTACGGCCCCACTTGCATCAAGAACTGACCACCAGGATGTAACGACTTTGCCCTGCTTCCACTTCAAGCCACGTGGAGTTTTAAGGTCCTGTAGTGTATCGTCTCGGAAACTTCCCCACAACATAGGAGCCTCTCTGAGGCCATATAGGGCCTTCAGCAAACCCCACAGTTCCATTTTCGCAGAGATCCCCAAGGCCTCTAGAAGCCTCGGGGGTTGTGCGATCACAACCGGATCCTTGACCGAACGTCCCAGGGGTGTTCTAAGGAACGCAGCCACCACATCTAAAATGGCTATGCACCATCGATTGCGACTTGACATCGCCAGCCCTGCTCGGACAGCTTCGGCGGGAGCCGTCTCGGCATAAACCTGCGACCCATCATTCACTGCGAAATTTCCGCATATGACAAGTCTTGCCTTTCGCTTGTACCAAGTTTCCGGTCTCTGTAGGTCCGCCTTGTCATTCGGTTTCACTGTAAAAACAAACTTCGTTGGTAATCGCTGCACTCCAGGTGTATTCAACCATTTTTTCTGAACCTCTGACCCAGGATGTAGCTTCTCAATAGCACCTTCGATGCCCGCGACCTCCTTGAGAATAGCTGGACGCCACTGCTCCAAACAGGCTGCCACTTCATCTGGGTGTACTGTATGCGTCACATCCAAAGGACTCGTCAAACCAGCAAGTATCTTCTCAATATTTCTGGTGTAGCTGACTTCAACCTTTTGCACTTGTGGACCACCGAAGTCATTCTTGACGGCATCTGCAATCTTGACTGTACCAGGTTCTAAGTCCAAATACAACGACCAGTCTGAGTCCTTATTGCATTCCTTCGCCTGACTGTCCTCTGTAGTAACAGCTGCGACTTGTGGAGATCCTTCCAATCCACCACCGCACCCATGATACTCAGGAAGCTGTGACAACGGAACGGGAAAACCATGATCGTGCAACATCTCCAAGTCACACTGATCCAACTTCCCCAGACAATTGGGTGTATAGGCAATGATCACTGTCCTCGTTCCAGTCCATCTGCACACCTCATGGTTTCGCTGTGGTCCAAACGAGAAACCTTCGCCTGGTAGAAGACCACGCAGCTGGCCATACACCACCTGCTTTCCCACATCACGCTGCTCGATTGGTCACCTGACTTCAACTCTATCCACAACTCACCCCCACTGTCTGGGCAAGCAACCGGCACCACATAGTTCTTTGTATGGTAGTCATTGTTGAAGTCCTTGTGCATCGCTCTAGTTGTATTGTGCGAAACCAGTATAGACGTGAACGCAGCTTCTGGATCCACTTCCACGACGATCCTCGTCAGAACCTTGGTCAGCGCGGGGAATTCTTTTAAGCCAGTAAGCCAGCCCACTGTACCTCCATGTCGGTAAACTCCAAACTTCCTTGCGCCGAAGAAACCCTCATCTGCAAGTCCCGTCACTAGTGCCAATTCATAGTCCACTCCTCGAGAACTTGCTCTGCTCCCTTTGTTGCCTGAGTGATCACGTCCATGGAGTCAACACGAGCCTCCCTCATCTCAATCCTTTCTGGATCCATTTTTTCGGGAACTCTCCTCCTGGGCTTTGGATTCTCCTCGCCACGAAACTCTTCTTGGGGTACTCCAGGATCTACTAAGTTTGGACGAACATGCATTGTATGTAGGAACTTCTCGGGCTCCTCCTCAGTCGCTGGAATGTACACGACATGACCATGGTGAACAATTGAGCTGAGTCCTACATATCGACCCATCACCCACTTGCTTTCCAACCCCAGCTCTCGCCGAAGTGGTCCAGCTTTATCGAACGCCTTTTTCCGTAGATGCACCACCGCACCGAACGGAGCCGCCAAATGGGTTTTCCACCCAAGCACCTTGGCCCTCTGCTCTGCCGTCGCGGTTGCTGCTGCCATTGGCCACAGTCGCAGTGGGAGCTTTGCCGACTGGAGAAGCGTCCGAGTTCTATCTTTGACCCATCGAACTGTAGCCTCCGCTCTGCCATTTCCTTGCGGTACACTTGGCTCTGACCAGGTTCCCAAGACTCCAAGGTCACGAAGCCAGTTGCGGAAACCATGACTGAAGAACTCACCCTTGTCTGCATGAAAACGGTATATCGGTAGTCCATGTGATTGTAAATATAGCACCGCATCCTGTAATGCCCGCTTTACTGTAGCACCCTTGTTGTTCGGTAGGGCCGTGGCAAAGGTCAAGTAGGTCATCTCCGGAGGGACGCAGTCTCCATTCTGCCTAAGAGGGTCCGGCGCATCATCTGGATCATTGCATCCATCCTCCCCTTCATCAGGGGGCTCTGAGGGCTGATACTCATCATCATCAACCACATCCAAGTTGCCATCATTGTCCTCTCCTGTAGCTCCAACAACTTCAACATGAGGAACCACATCGCTTGGTCCGTCTCGCGGCTCGGGGTCACCAAACAGCTCGCGCATGTCCTTATCTTGTTGCTCCGATAAGGCCAGGTCCTTGTTGCTGCCCTCTTTATTCTCCGGGCAGTCAGCTCCAGCTGATATTATATCTGCTCCATCACCCACAGGTGGAGGCTGACCTGCGTACTGCTCAATGAACTGCCTGGGGACAACGTACTTCGCGACAAGCAAATATCGTAGATTCTTTCCCATGGTTCCTTTCGAGCCTGAATCAAGTCCTGGACTTAACGGCCCGGCCACATCCGCAGTTAACACATACGCCTCTGGATGATGTACTCGTCGGTGCTGTCGTCCGACTCCTCGAGACATAACACACGTTGCACAGTCCTTTCGGTAAGTGGCATGGTTGTCTTTAACGTGCTGCTTCCACTGCGTGGGTGACATAGCATGTAGACGTGGCACGCATCGGGGATCTCTCTGCCAGAAGTTTAGCGCCACGACAATTGCCTGAACCAATCCTGGAGCCCATACATGATCTTGATCACTACGAAGTGGAGCGGGATCATCATCAGGTAGTCGAACTTCATCCAGAGATATCAGGGCTGTCATATTGGTGCCTATCGTTGTTCTGTTCCTTGAAGGTCCACCCATTGCACCTTGATCAAACGAGATGGTCCTTAGAGTTCCTTCACGTTGAAACGCCTTCCACATCCTCGTATCCCAGAAGCTAACTCCAGCATTCACAGTAGCGTGACCCACATAGCCTTCCCACCGAGGTCGCTGAACCTGCTCCCAGAAGCGTCGAGTCTCTTCCCAGGACGGAACCGTAGGGCTCATTCCAGGAACCTGCACCTCCTCCTCGGCCTGTTGCACTCGTTGCTCACGGTCACGACGCACGGCTGCAGGGATACCCTCTGGGTACTCAATCATGAAGCCCACATCTCGGTTCTTATTGACTCCAGTGCTGTTCAACTCGCGACCCACTTGGGCCACAGCAAACAACCACATCATCCGAGCAATCAGCTTCAAAGACTTCACATCTCGATCACCACCTTTGCAGTGCTGTAGGGCTCGACCTGGTGGACCGCCCATCACCACATCCACCTTTCCTGTCTTTGCTCCCCACAGTAGCATTCGCCAAGTCTCGTCACGCAAAACATCGTGACCGCCACATCGCGCCAAGTCCAGCTCGATCACTGAAGTCTCGCCTTGGTCCAACTTTAGCACCTCCCAGTGACCAACATCTCCGGCAAAGAGATGAACCACCCATCTCTTGCTATTCATGACCTTTCGTCGCTGCGCTCGAGTAAGAAACCCATTCAACTTGAAGATGTCCCACCCATTGCGCAATCCTCCACTAGGCACCATCCCAGAAATACACTCGCCTGGAAGGTCCTCAAAGAACGGGGCATCACGAACGGCTCGTAGACCTGACTCAAACGAACCAGTAGCCACATAGTCATAGAGATAGTGGTTCCAGTGCTTTTCCATTGCCATAGCCGAAACTCCCAGCTTGTCCCTTGTAGTCAACGTCTCATTCTTTAGCTGCTCCAACTTGCGGTCCTCCAAGCGGGCGATTAGAGCAGCTCCATCATCTGCGGACAACCCCCTTCAACCTGTAGCTGCACGGGATCACCTTCTGGAGACCACAGCACACACTCCCCTGGCTTCCACACCATCGTGTATCCAAGGGTTTCTATAAGCTTTCCCATCGGAACTATAGTCTGAGTTTGTGGTTCAGGAAGATCCATCGCGGTAGACGACGCTCTGGGTGGCATCAGCAGAGTTCCTGCCGACGTGATGCGCATAGTGAGCTGGTGACATCCCGCAAGCTGGACTGCTACTTCCTCTGCACTTTCCCATTCACTGGTAGATGCTGCCCTGCGTAAGCTGTGAGTAGCACCGCTATCCAGTAGCGCCGTAGTTGTCTCCATCATGGAACACACTCGAATGTCCCGTAATTTAAGCACCTTCATCTCTGGACGCGTTTTCTCTGGAGACTGATCTCTAGATTGCTCGGTGGACTGACCTTGAACCACTTGCTGCGCAGCCTGAATGAGCGTCTCAATAGTCCACGGTGTGCCTTGGACTGGGTCTGCTTGAGTTGATGCCGTAGAGCTCGTTGTAGCCACCGTAGCCATAGTACTTGGGGTTGTTGGCGGCTTTCCGCCACCTTGGTCCTTCCCTGCACCCTTGGACTGAGGCTTTCCTGCTGTGCAATCGCGCTGTCGATGCGCTTCTGACCCGCACCGCAGGCATTTTTTCGCCCGAGTCTCTTTATCCATGGAGGACATACTATGGCTGTATGTGCAACGATCTCCTCGTCGGCATCCTGAGGCTTTTGCGAAATACTTGCATAGCTCGCCAGAACTTGTACCTCGTCCACCTGCATCACGTGCCTTGGCCTGCATTGCTCCATCCACTGCCTTGATCTTTGGTACAGGAATCGGCGATCCCATAGAACTGGATATCATTGTTTCCAGCTCCGCTTGTAGGTGTCTTTGGTACCCCTGTACACTCTCAAGGGTGGGTTGTCCATCCAACCTGAGTGTAGTTCGTAGCATTGAGGTCCTGAACGCCGCATCGGTGGACTGGTTGATGTAGCGGTCAGTGAGGTTCATCAAGCCCTTTGCCAGCACTGAGGCGTCCGGGGGACTCATATTGACCGCCTGGCATCTGGATAACAAACGCGGCCAAGCCCTCACCACCTTGAGCACTTCTTCCACGGAGTCACCAGTCAAGTGATCCCTTGGATTTTGCAACCTCCTTAGTACTTCGGATCTTTCTGCAGACCCGCCCGGCTGAAACAACGTGTGTAACCGGTAGACCATTTGTACTGAGCTCTGGGACAATCGCTGCGCCACCATCTCTGTTTTCATCTCTACTGACATCGCTGCAAGCAACATAGATGCCACGCGAGCGTTCAGCCTTGACCATCGTCCTTCTGACAGCTTATCTGCTCCCTGTGGAACGACGCTCAGCCGCTCGAGTGGCGTAGATCTCAACCATCTCTCATAAGTCTGGTTCACCACATCCATTACTGAGCACCACCATACACCGCTCGCCTCACTCACATCCGCAAGCACTGAAGATGACACCTCCAGCCAGTCCTGAAACGCCAGCGCTGCATCACAACCTCCCTTCAACTCTGGTAGCGGAGCCAACGATGACGTCCCTGGCTTAACAAGCTCTGTGGACATGGATGACATAGTCCCTTTTGCTAAAGCTTGTGCTTGTAGTTCCTGAAGCTGCTGTATTCCCTTTGCCAGCACGTCTAAGGTGGGTAAACCTCCGGGCTCAGCGGTTGTAGCCTTTGCAGGGGGTGTTTGACTTCTTGAGCGACCAGTCCACCACGACCTAAGTAGTCCTGGTGGATCTCCAGCTTCAGGATCCCTAGCCGGCACAAAGCCGGTTTGCTTGTGCACTCCACTCTTGCCTTGATATACTTCATCACGGTCACCTCCGGGCCCTGGAGTTGGTCTTAGTACTCCTGGCTCAAGTCGCGGAAGAGGAACCTCATCAGGTGGTAGTACACGACTAGGGGGTACGCTAGGAAGTGCTGGTACTGTTGAAGCTGGTGGTTCGACAACAGGATCACCAGGTAGTAGTCCAGGATCTAGTTCCCCCGATGCCATACTCCCTAGCAACCTGGTTGTAGGCACCGCTGTAACTCCCGTCCCTGTACGACCTTGGTGAAGATCCTGTAACTGCTCTCTAGCATAGTCCAACTCTGCTTGTAACCGCTCATTCCGCGCCCCATACTCCCGTAGTTGCTCCAGCACCCCATGTAGCTGCCTCTGCACCTCTGCTTGTATCGCCTCTGCAGGAATGCTTGACGATGACGGTGGCGTTGGCACGGGCGGTATTGGCCGCGCACGGGCTGGAGATCTCAGCCTGAACGCTTGTCCCCCTTGTGGGGTTGCATATACTGGACTGCTTCCAGGAAAAGGACTTGGAGCTAAGTCCGCCGCCATTGTACTTTGACCATGGTTCAGAAAACTCCCAAGTCGCATCATCCACCGCGGTACTTCCATCCCCGTCATCCACGACGGGGGCACTGGAGCCCGCTGACCCGCGGTTGATCGCGGGGTTGTATATCCCAGGGGTGCAGCTTCCACCATTTGCTCCACACCACGTTGCTCCAGTGCGGGTCTTTCACCCGGCTCCAAGATCGTCGAAGCTGCCTTATGCTTCGCCTGCCTTGCTCCAGTTGTGACGTCCCTCACTGAAGGTGGTTCTGCAGAGCTCCACTCACGAACCTCCGATGCTTCCGCCAGGACCGGCGGCTCATCTCGAGTCTGCGTGCGCTGCACATCTGTACCTCCGTCTCCTTGGTGTCCTTGGCTTGTATCGGCTGTCAACTCAGCCGTGCCAGTAGCAGTGGAGTCTTCACGACCTTCCACTCCATCGGACAAACACGCATCGTAGCGTTGGGCGCTCATAACCTGCAAATCTGCTCTAGCAGATTAACAGAGTCACCGCTCACGGCTTATGCCTGCAACCATGGCGCGCGGGCGCATAACTCCTTTTTCCGGACAAAACAACACGTCATGCTGCTCAAAAGCCTTTGTAGCACTGGATTACCGGGGGTGTACAGCTGTTGGTAATCCTGTTCCGCTACGGCACGCAATGACTCAAGGCTTTACTTCGTAGCCGACCTTGAGTCCGAAGAGCAACAGCGAACGCAGCTGCCATGCACCTCTTCTCTCCAGCACTGTCATCATGCCTGTCATTCTGCAGGTTTAGGGTTTAGGGTTTAGGGTTTAGGGTTTAGGGGTTTAGGGGTTTAGGGCTTAGGGTTTACGGTTTAGGGTTTAGGGCTTAGGGGTTTAGGGCTTAGGGCTTACGGTTTAGGTAGACAAGATATGTCCAAAACCGGGTTTTTGAATGGAACACCCTAAGCTTGAGGCCTAAGCCCTAAAGCCTTAGCCCTGAACCCACACCCCTAGAACCAGAACCGCAAAACGCCCTACAGTGTAAGGCCTGAAGCTCTAAAGCCCCAAAGCCCCAAAGCCCCAAAGCCATAAGCCCTACACACTTAACCAAAAATGTGAGCCGTAAGCCCTCAAGCCTAAACACTAAATCCTACTCCCCAAACCTAAAGTTGAAACCCCAAACCCTAAACTCTAAACCCTGGCCCTTGGAGGACACCGGCCAAGCGAAGGCGCCCAAACTCAGCCTCTCGTCTGAACTCAGAGCCGTAAGTCTACACCACAGTTCAGGGCAAGAGTTCAGGGCTTGGGGTTTGAGAATTTTAGGGTTTGGGCTCTGAGAGTTTAGGGCGTCTTGAACATAGACTTGTTGCATGGAGTTCCAGGATACCCCATCCCAAACCCTAAACCCTAAACCCTAAACCCTAAACCCTAAACCCTAAACCCTAAACCCTAAACCCTAAACCCGGTTGCTGCGGAACTTCCCAGCGAAGGCTGTAAGGCTTTGCATGCCTAGCTCATAGCATGCTCCGTAGAGGTGGGGCCTCACAGTGGGCGTCCTGCGTGGGTTTAGGGTTTAGGCCCTAAACCCTAAACCCTAAACCCTGTGGGGTCGTAGCCCCTTTCTCAAGCGTTCTTCCAGCTGTGCCAATTCTCTCTTCAGACCTCGAGCTCAACACTCATGGAACTCCGCCTGTGTGGACTGTCAAGCGCCATCGGATCCCTAAAACCCAAACCTTAAGAAGATAAGGGCTGAATGTAGGGGCCTGACTCGTTGATTACAGGATTCCGCACTTATAGCATGTTATGTCCCCAAGCCTTGTCTATCTTTAAACTCCATGCGCTATTGATTTCGGTGTTAACTTTGATTTAGGTCTTGGGCATCGACCCCTGTTCGCAAAGCCCGCTACTGCCAGTTAGGTGTAAAATCGATCTACCAAAACCCTAAGCCCCAAGCCCTTCAACTCAAGAAAGCTTTGGAGCCTGATGGAGCCCACAGATGCTCAGTCAGGATGCCCCCAGTAGAAAGCTCGGTCCCGGCTTTAGGCTAAGGGTTTAGGGTTTAGGGTCAGGGATTTTAAATGTAGGATTCTGGGCTACCCTTCAGTACCCCTCAGCTCCTTCGCTCAGGATGAGAACAGAAAGCCCAAAAACCCTAGACCCTAAACCCTTCAGTTAAGCTCCTTGGCTCAGGATGAGAACAGAAAGCCCAAGAAGTATAAACCCTGAACCCTAACCCTAAACCCAAACCCTCCTTCGCTCAGGATGAGAACAGAAAGCCCAAAGCGGACAACACGAGACCCACAGGCCCGCACTCCCAAGCCGCCGGCTAAAGCGAAGCGCGCGCAAGACCCTTTAAACTTCAGCCTTCAGCCTTTTCCAGTTGGTTTTTCGCTTTGAAGTCGGCTGGGCTTTGGGTTTAGGGTTTAGGGTTTCGGGTTTAGGGTTTAGGATTTCGGGTTTAGGGTTTTGGGTTAGGGTTCAGGCTTGCGCGTGAGGCATTATTGTTTTGAGCGGGTTCCCCAAGCACCAAGTTGTCTGGGATTCAGAGTTCAGGACAATCTGAGACCCCCAAGGGTGCTCGCAGGAAGAAGGCTTTAGGGTTTAGGGTTTAGGTGATCTTTGCAAGCAGAGTTTTGAGTAATGTCGTAACCAGGGAAACTATCGGGAGCCCCCCCCAGAAACTTGCTTAACAAAGACTTACTAAGTCGCATGAAGTTTCCAGGTACTCAGGACAGGCCACTCCAGTTCAGTTCCGGCGGGCGTTTGCCAAACAAAAATGTAGGCATGCACACGCCTTCCAGCCCGGTTTCCGTTGGATTCGTCGATACATGCTCCTACGTATCACTTCTCGGGAACTCGGTTGAATTTCAATGTGCTCGGATAGCTCCTGGCAAACAGTATACAGCACAAGAATCGTATCAGCCGGCCTGTGGACAGCAGGTGCGGATTCGCAGACAAAGTCGACGCCTGCAGCTGGGCCGGTATGGTCACACTCGTTGGGTTCCTGCGCAGTTCAGTTTCTGAGATGGACGGTTTGGGGTTGGTACTGACCAGCAAGAAGCCCTGCACTCCAAAGCATCCCGAAACTAACGTGTTTTTGGCATGTGGCCCTGGGGTTTAGGCTTTGGATGAGGGTTGAGGGTTCGGGCTCAGTGTGCTAAACCCTAGACCCTCAACCTGAAACTCTTCATTCATGGATCCTCGCGATAATTAACCCTTTCACAGTATCTGCAGCTATGCTGAACCTGGTGGTGGCCCCACCGCGACCCTAAACCCCAAACCCGAAACCTTTTACCACCAGCCACACAACTACCCCTAAACCCTAAACCCTAAACCCTAAACCCTAAACCCTTACACCTCGACCCTAGGGTCGGTCTTTCTCCAAGGAGAGAAAGGAAAAGATGAAGGCCTCGCCAAAGGGCCTCAGGAGCAGCATCATGCTGGGGGGATTCCGGGATTCCTTAAATAATGACTTGAGGTATTCTCCTTATTGATACAAGGAATTTCGGTTTAAAACCCTGAGCCCTTCTTAAGTAAATACAGCTGGTAATTCAGCTCCTCCATGAATAGGACCGCCACATTTGTCCCTCCCCAACTTTTGCAACTTGACACTTGCAGAGATTGCAAAAAGGAGGCCCTGCATAGGGATACATTTTTCGGGACAGAAGTAGCATTGACTCCCAAGTCCCTTGCCCTAAATTGTAAGTCTCACTACACTACCCCATGGCGTGCATGATGTATGCATGCATGTACGTATGCGTCCATGCACACACGTGCGCATACCTGCCTAGCCACAAAACCACGACGTACCATGCGTGCATGCATGCATGCGTGCGTGCGTGCGTCCAGGTGTGCATCCATCCCATCCATCCGTCCGTCCGTCCGTCCGTCCATCCATCCATCCATCCATCCATCCATCCATCCATCCATCCAGCCATTCATCCAGCCAGCCAGCCATCCATCCGTCCATCCATTCATGCAGCCATCCATCCATCCATACATCCATCCATCTATTCACCCATCTATCCTCCCGTGCAGGCAACCGAGTGCTTGAACTCACCATTGTCACATCCACAGCCTTCTCTGTTTTCCCTTGAGCTGTGGACTTTTAAGCATGGCTTTTCTGCACAGAGCCTCCGAGGGCTCATGGGAGGCAACTTCAACTCATCATCTTGACAACGACAGCCCAGAGAAGAAAAATCCATTGCAGGCCAGGGGGGACTACTATTCCTTTATGCGGAAGCACATGCCTCGCTTGCGGAGTCAAAAGAACATCTTGTTGCCGCTTGGGCTCCAAAGCAAAGGGCCTGTGCCTTGCACGGCCTGTACCACCTAAAACGCATTACCCAGCATGTTAGCACAGTGTCACAGACAAGCTAAAGTAGACAAGTTCAGCAATTTAATGGTCTTGTCCGATGTTTGCTCACTTCTCAGGAAATGCTGTCTCAGAAGACGACTATAGCACGGGCTCCTTTGAAGCACATGCCGCCAACAGGGAGGAAAACAGCGGACATCGTCACGAGTCTGGAACGACTGAAGCCGTGGGATGCCAAAGGCTTTCATGTGGAGGCTCTTTGTTGCCTTTCGGGCTTAATTAAGGTTTACCTACGGACCTACAGTCTCCATTGTAGTTCCTTCTTTGTTTAACCAATATTATAGTTAGGATCCTAATTGTAAGGCAGCCCCAAAAAGCAACCACGGCGAATACATTTCGAAATTTCTTGTGGGGGCTACCTACAATTAAGGAATATGAGATGGGTTCAGGGTCTGATTAGATTTCCAGGTTGGAGGGCTGGCGGGTTTGGATGGAGGGTTGGAGGTTGGGCTGGAGGGTTGGAGGCTGTGCTGGAGGGCGAGTTGGAGGTTGGACTGGAGGGTCGGAGGGTTGGGCTAGAGGGCTGGCGGGCTGATGGGTGTTGCGCGTCTTGCTTTTTACTGCCTTCAGCCTTGAGCCCGTCAACCCGAAAAGCCCGGCCTCGTCTCCAGCGTAAAGGCTGGGGTTGGGACACTATTTTATAGTCTTCCAAGTCCAGCCCTCCAGCCCTCCGTTTTCATCCTGAGCCCTCCAACCATCCAGCCCTCAGCCTTCAAGCCCTCCAACAATCCAACCAACCCTCCAGCCGGCCCTCCAACCTTCCAGCCCTCCAACCCTCTTCCAGCCATCCACCCCTCCAGCCCTGCAGCCGTCCACCCTCCAGCCCTCCAACCCTCAGCCCTCCAACCCTCCCCTCCAACCTTCCACGACTAGCCCTCCAGCCTTCCAGACCCTCCAGCCTCTATTCTCCAATCTAACCTTTCCCTCCAGCTTTCTAGCCCTCCCTCCAGTCTCCTCCCTCGGCAACTCTTCGTTTTAATAGCCTCTCGCCTCAAGTACGCGAAACTATGAATAATAAGACAATCGCGGAGCTTTGCAGTTGGTGGTTGTTCTAGCCCTCCAGAGTGCGCACACGCAGTTCTGACAGTATACTAACACATGTCAGAATGAATTCTAGTTACAGTGTTTCACAGCCTACTCTTGCTCGATGCCTCAGCTGACGCTTGGGGGTAAAGTGGCAAAGGATTCCGTTGGAAGCTACTTGTGTCACGTATGCACCCAATCTTGCAAGACAATCCAAGCACTCATCAGCCACAAGTGGCATGCTCACGGCATCAGTAATGATCCTGGCCCTCAATTTTCGGCGGCTGTGGCCCGTCTCTTGCTAGGCGATACAAATCCAGCGCAGGATGCAGAGTGGGAAGTGAAGGGGTATTGCAGACATCGAGTCAGATCAGCTTGATGCGATGTCCGATGATGAAATTCTTATAGTGTCAGACGATGAGAGCGTTGATCCTCCGTCCGGAAAGCACCGTGCTGATACATCAATGAGCTCTCGAGCCAAGCTTACAAAACTTGGATTACCCCAAGCAGACCAGAGGCGCTCCCAAGCGACCGGGGGCGCATCTGTCTGCTGGGGCGAAGGTCAAGGCCGTGGAAAGCTATCAAGCGGCGCGTGCCCTTGGCTATCCGCCTATGGATCCAGATGTTCCATCATCGGGGACTCGCCACCCATGCAACAGCGTCTTGAACTGGAGCGAGAAGCTGCTGGAGCTCACAGATTTGGGCGGCGAGGCGAGGGTGGGCTCAAGACAGTTTTTTAATCTGAGAAGCTGGAGGGTTGGAGGGTTGGAAGGCTGCAGGGTTGGAAGGTCGGAGTGGGGAGGGTCAGACGGATCGTGATGCGTAGGCCTCCATTCGTTGTGCGACCGCTCAGGCCATGGCTCACGGGCTGTAGTGCACTGTCGAGGCCTAGACTCACGTTGAACCTCAAACCCTAACCCTGCGCCCTAGACTCATATTGAAGCTCCAACCCTAAACCCTAGACCGCTGCGTAGGATCATGGCTCTCGCGCTGTATACGTGATACTATAGTGCGCTGTCAGCCAAGGCCGTGTAGTCCCTCTCGCCGCACGCCTTCACACTCCATGGAAGAAGGCGCGGATTTGGAGCTCTGCTCCCTCGCCTCAGACGAAGGCGTCCCTTGTGGCGATGATGCCGAAGTGGCTTGGAGCGCCTTAGATGAAGGTTTTTCTTGCGAGGACCCGAATGAGATGGGCATACAGGCACGCGACGTTGATCGTTTCCTCGTTGCCGACTTTGGAGGGTTTTTCTTGAAAGAGCACCAAAAGGAGGGGGTGAAATTCTTGCTCCAGCGGATCAGTCGCAAGCCCCCTGCAGGGGCTGATCACATGGGACTCGGCAAAACAGCTACGGTCCTGGTATGCGCGTTGTTCATGCTTCAACACCTCGCTTGGCAGACTTGCGTAGTCTGCCCCAAGTCATTGGTGGCACACTGGCACGCGGAGACTGCCAGATGGTGCGGCGAGCTTCACAAGCAAAACTTTAGTGTTTGCACCTAGGAGACCGCAGGCTGGACTCAAGCCTTTGTTTTTCCCAACGTTGTTGCAGTGTTGTTTGTGTGGGTTTAGCTGGCCCTTAAACCCTAAACCTACCGTGGAGCCTGTAAACCCAACAGCCTTGCGAGGTCGGCAGGACTACTCTGGCATCCATCTTCTGGTAATGGACGAAGCACGTGCGCTGAAAATCCCGGCATGTGCCAGGAGTCGGCCGCGAAGGATGTTGGCAGGCGCATAGCTCTGACTGGCACGCCGTTGCAAAACAACATGGAGGAGCTTCATCAGCTCATAAACTTCGCAGTGCCTGGTGCCATGTGCGACAAAAAGTTCAAACACGTACAGAATATCATTAAAGCTGGTCGTGCTGATCCAGAACACAGTCTTTCAGCAGCGTCAGAAGCATTAGAAGCTTGGCGGCGGGATACATCGCAGTATGTGATGCAGCGCGGCGAAGAGGTCCTGGCCCGGACGTTGCCGGGGTGCGCGCGCGAGAGAATGTGTTTTTAAGGGCTACGGACCGCGAGATCGCCGAGTACAACCTGGTGTTGTCCTCGGCGTCTCGTGCAGCGACGTTGGAAACCTTATCGGAGCTTGAGGACGTGCTTGATCGACCTGATGGCATCAAAATGCTACATCAGGCAAGTGCTTTCGGTGCAGGAGCAATGTGTATTGTAGCGACGAGGGCATCAGTTCTTGATGCTGTGGAGCAGCTGTGCAACCAACTGCAGTGCACATTTTGTAGGCTCGACGGGCGGATGAGTGTCAAGAAACGCGAGGGAAGCTGTGCAGGTTTTTTCTACTTCGAGCATTGACGTATTTTTGTTCTCGAAATGGCTGGTGCATGCGGGCTGACACTGCCGCTACTCGCTTGCTGATTTACGATGTCGATTTCAGCCCGGCGGTTGACGTATCTCGTTCATGATTCGTGCTTTATGCAAATTTTGGACCTTAGCGTTGGAGGATTGAAGGGGGCAGGGTTGGAAGGTTGGAGAGGTGAAGATGCTGTAGGGTTGCAGGGCTTAACTTGCTGGAAGGGGGGAGCGCAGGGCTTGGGGTTGGAGGCTTGGAGGGGGTCGGTTGAAAGGTTGGAAGGTGGAAAGATTGTAGGTCGGGGGGAGAAACGTTGAATCTTAACCCATAGACTCCATAGACGTGTTCATTCATCAGCCCCATAAATTGCAAGCTCGCTTTTAAGCTTTTGAAACATGGCGTTTTAAGCCATCAACCCCAAACCCTATACAAGCTTGTTTTTCAGCTCTTGCCAACTGAGGCACAAGCCGCTGCGCGCATTTATCGCACCGGCCAACAGAAGCCTGTCATCATCACAAGGATGTTGGTGCGATCGAGTTTCGAAGAGAAAGCACTTCAATTTCAATGCAACAAAGAGGCCTTGTTGCTGCAAGAGGTCACCCCGGAGATGATGGCGGGAGAGTTGCAGCCGCTGAGCACAAAGTTTTCTCCACGCAGACCCATTGGCCATTGGTGAGACAACCACACACACACATATACACACACATGCACACACACACATACGCACATACACTTATATAGGCATGACAATCCTCCGCAAACGCGTATCTTATCATCTAGTCTCAACACAAAAAACAAGACCACATGTTCAATTATCCTGCAACTTGCATTGTTGTGTGTGTGTGTGCGCACGTGTGCGCGTGCAAGCTTGCTCATTTCTGTATGCAAGATTGACAAAGAGAGTGAGAGGGAGGAGGTGCAGCCGAGAGATAAGAGGGCCACAAGCGGATGGGGAAGTGCCAGGACCCCACTCTCGGCTAAGAGGCGCCGCTCCGGTGCGAAGAAAGCGCTGGAGGCACCTCGTGGGCTTGGGGCTTCACATACAGCGTAAGCCGTAGAGTTTCAAGCTGGATTTTCGACTCGCTGCTGGGATGCTTGTTTCGATGCTCAATTTCATTTCGTGGAGAAAGTTTAAGGCTCTTGCCTGCGGACTGCAAGGCCGACGATTTTTTGCCACTTTTGTTGTTCCTGGCTTAAGTTTCTGTCTAATGTACAGACCCAAGCTTTTTAGTGTGTCACTACTATTATTCGCCAGGGTCCATCACGTAGTCATAGCAAACTCCTAAATCTTATTCCTGTTCTTAGGGCCCACGTATTCGGTGAAGGCCCGCCCGATCTGACGCTGCTAATAGTTGCTGAAGCCCCTCCCACCTGTACTCAATAGACTCCAAACGAAAGAACCCTACCAAAACAAGCTGCTGTTGCTGCTGCTCAAAATAGTCCAGTTTTACCACTTCAAGTCGGGTAAAATACACGAACTAAACCAGACTAGGCCAGACATATGTCGTGCGACATTCCCAAATTCCAAGCCCGCAAGAAGCAGAAGCTTTTTGAAGCCGCCCTTGCAAACAGGGCCTCACGGTCCGAGAGCTGAAAGTGATAGCCTCGGTGGTCGGTTTGAGAGTTTTTGGGTTCACGGTTTAGGCTTTAAGTTTTCTGGCTTCAGGGTTCAGGGGTTCAGAGCTCGGAGTAAAGCTTGAGGTTCAGGATTGGCTGGGTTCAGGGAAATGGGCAGGTGGTGAGGGATGCAGGGTTTAGGGTTCACGGGTTTACGGGTTTCTTTCGCATGATTCTACAGTAGCCAGTCAAGGGTTCAAGAGTCAAGGGTAGCATCACAAAAAAGGTCCAATGTAGCCCTCTCCTCTCCCTCCAAGTCCTACTTTAACCATGAAGAACCCTACAGCAGCTCCACCTCCGAGAGCTTCGCTGGACTCCTTCATCCCAGGACTCTGAAACCCAAGCCTACAAGCGTCACCAAAAAGCCGTATAGGTCCGAAGTGTAGCCACGAAGTTTTGAAACTGAAGCTCTACGCCCTCAAGAACAGCGCCAAACTGAGGGCAGTGGGCTGGTCTTTAGGGCTCTGGGTTGGCCTTCAGGGTTCAGGGTTTAGGGCTCTGGGTTGGCCTTCAGGGTTCAGGGTTTAGGGCTCTGGGTTGGCCTTCAGGGTTCACGGCTTAGGGCTCTGGGCTGGCCTTTAGGATTCATGCTATGGGCTGGTCTTTAGGGTTCAGGGTTTAGAGCTCTGGGCTGGCTTTTCGGGTTCGGGGTTTAAGATTTTGGGCTGGCTTTAGGGTTTAGAGGCCTCTAGGGTTTTGGGCTTGGTCTAGGCTGGTCTTCGGGGTTTAAGGCTCAGGCTGGGCTGGCTTTTATGGTTTAGGGCTTATTCTTGGAATAATTCCTTGTCAGATCTGTCTGACAAAACATCTGCGTGACAAAGTGGGGGGTCGGATTGTCGAATTTGAAGCTACAAAAAAGGTGGTTAACACGTCTCTTCCCGGCAGAGGTCCGACAAAACATATGCGTTACAAAGTGGCGGGTCGGATTGTTGAAGCCTGGAGCCATAGAGTAAATACACACTGTTTGATTATTGTCAGCTTTGTTGGTCTGAAAGAAGAATGGAAACCAGTTCTATGCATGATAAGTTTTTGCTTTGTCTCTTAATGTTATGGGCTTCTTTGGGTGGGTGGGTGTCATATCAAAATCGTAAAGAGACAACTTTACCATAGTACTGCTCGATCCGGAGCTGCTGAACCCGAAAGCCCGAAACCCTAAACC